ATCCGCAGTTTCTGAAATACTTGGACCAGCCTGCCCTTTCTTCCTCATTCTGGTGGCTGGTTTGAACTTCACCGGAGGATCTTGACCATGTCTCAATGCCTAAGTGCACTGAGTTGCTGCCATCTCACTGGCTCATTAGGTGTTTGCATAACAAGCAGTAGAACAGTTATGCTCTACTGCTTGTAACTTTCTCACAGGTAACTTTATAAAGTTACCTGTGAGAGTATATACTAGTTTTAAGACGGTAGATAAACTGCTGTCCAGTAAAGCCTGGCTTATTTCTGCCACGTGTATTACAACAGCATGGCTCTGTAATTAAAGAGTAGAAGAAGAACGAGTAGAAGAAAGCTTGTCAAAAAGGCTGTAGGGCATCCATATGATCATTGCACCTTTGTCCAGTATCCATCTGTGTTAGATCCACATAGGTAAAATAAATACTGACTTTGGATAATCCAATAAAGAAGAGAGAAACCGTACCAGCTGTTGGAACTGAGGATAATCTGCACATTACTTAACGCCACAACAGACTTCACCTCGATAAGACTGCAAAAAACATTTGAAAAAAGCAGAATGTAAGAGTTGATTGTTGTGGCCATAAATATCAAGTGTAGCTACAGTAAGGACTCAATTTCTTCCCTGTTGGCTTCTAAAGTCTTTTTGTAAATATCTGAAACCACTAACAGCACATACAACCAAAGTCCTTCTATAAAGAAGTCTTCAAACTCAGCAGCCAGCAGAGCCTCTGGGCATTTATTTTGAAGCTGCTGTCTACATAAATGTGAAAAGAGCCATAACTTTTATTTCAGTGGGACATAAAAAAACACATATATAGACTCACCAGCCAAATCTAACAATCTCCTTTTCCAGCTGCAGGTTGGACTTCTAGTATCCACAGAAAAAGTAACACAATCCTACAGCTTCATTAGTGGCTCAATCCAGGCACCAGAGCAATTCAATTCAATTTTATTTATATAGCGCCAAATCACAACAAAAGTCGCCTCAAGGCGCTTCATAGATACAGAGAAAAACCCAACAATCATATG